GGAATATAAGTTAAGGCATTTCACACTTTCTCAAGTTACATCAACCATTTTGTTGTTTGGGCTACTGTTTGACCGGTCGGGTAAACGGTGTTTTTGTTATAATGTTTTAGCTTCTAAAATGTATATTTTGTTTATCTAATATATAAAATTCCCGTGTCAAGGTTGTGAGAAGTTGAACTCCTCCGAAACGGCTCTACCGATTTTCGTTAAACTTTGTGTGCATATCGGGTAGGTCTGAGAATCGGCCAACATCTATTTTTCATACACCTATTTTATTATGTTTTTTTTTTGAAAAAAATATTTGAAGTAATGTATATGGCAAAAAAACAATTGCGGGGTCAGCTAGTAATAATATACAAGTATGTTTATCAGCAGTCTGGTTACCAATAAGTAACAAAGTAAGCAAGCAGCTAATGTGATGTAGATTCGGATGCTAATCCAAACCCAACTCACTATTGAGGATATCTTTCACTAATTTAGTATATCTGTTATAATTATGATCAAAAACGTCTAGTAATTTATTGATTTTTGAGATATCATTATATTGACGGGCCATTCTTGTTAATAGATTATAGTAAGATTTTTTATTTTATTTTAAAGGATTTGATATATTACAAATCCGTCCGTGTAGTGACGGATTAAAAATACGGAATGTCACTACCCCAATTCATCCAGTGGGTGTCGTAAGAGCCGACTAAAGGCGTAAAACAACGCAGGATACCAGCACTGCAAAAATAAGTAAAACTTGACACAAACCCTATGAAACTAATAAAAACATGTCAGATAAACACTTATATTTTATTAAATTTATGTAGGTTTATCCCGTTTCCCTATTCATCCCGTGGGTGTCGTAAAAGTCGACTAAGGTAGAAAACTACGCAAGACAACATTACTACAAAGAGAAGGAAAACTTGAAACAAACCCTATACCAACCCGTCTGGTCAGCGTGGTATAGTAGGCCAAAACCTCCTTTGTAAAGAGAGGCCTATGTCCAACAGTGGACTATTAAAGGCTCTTGATGTGTGTGATGTGTGACGGGCCATTTTTGTTAAAAGATTATCGTAAGAAATGTTATTTTTTTATATTTGAAAGGCAAATATATTCCTATCGTTAGCCCTACTGGTACTAAATTTAATATTGAAATTGATTTGTGAAAGTAACTCCGGTTAATCAATTATATAATCCATAATTTAGTAGAGATAAACCAAATCGACATAAGTGTGTAGGGTTTCTAACGGCTGAACCTTATATTTACTGAGTATGCTTTCGTAATTTTAGTAATATGCATAGCACAGGCTGTATAGTTTGGAATCAGATAGCCGTGTGTAAGATGGGTGAAGTTATTTTCTATGTACGTATGTGTATGCGATGAAGAAAGCGATTTTACGATAATGTTGGTTTCAATAGATCAACAGTAATCACCTTCTTATTGTATATAACATTTATCTATATCATTTTTTTGGAACAAAGTTCCTTGTCGCCCGTTACACGCCGAGGGCTTCAATTCTGCTATTTGAATATTGTATCAATAGACTGTCGATGGAATGACGTCGGAATAGTTTTGCACTTTTCTTATTCTACTAACTATGTAAGACCAATGGACTCCCAATGACTTGTCACTGAAACAAATATCGTTGATGTCTTTGTAATAGTTTGGTAAACGGTACATTTTAAATTTGTAAAAAAATAATATGTTTAATTTTCATGGTATGGCAATGTTGTTGATATAACCATTGATGACCTATATTAGTATATCGACAGTCTATTGACACTTTGAATTTATGTTTGTAGAATACCGATATTTTGACCGATGTCAGTGGTATCTCAATGGCATCTCAACAGCGTGTCAATGGAATGGCAGTGGCTTGGCGTTAACATAAAATATCAGAATTGAGGATCTGAGCGATGGCAGCGAGACTGAAAAATGTGAAACATGACTTTTTTTCGAAACTTCTTGCTATAGTACGCTTAGATATTTCAAACTAAGTAACGGATTATAATGCGGTTGTCACCAATAGGGAGAATGGTTCAAGAGGGAGGTTTATATGTAACCTCCTCTCTCAGAAGTGGCCAATGTCCAGCAGTGGACTATTAAAGGCTGTTGATGTGATGTGATGTGTGACGCCCTTCAGCTCCCTCGCAAACGCAGTTTTAATGAAGGTATTTGATCCATATCTGGTGTATATGGTCTGGTCTATATGTTAATAATGTGAGATTATTAGGCAATTGATTCTCTGCTTTTCTACAAAAACGTCAAATAATCCTTATCCTCATTCCTGACTGACGGATTGCGTATTGGTTTAAGCGGTCGTCTCGCCTCGAGTGTTGTGAGTTCGATCCCCACACTTTGTGTAATCCACAAACTGTTGTTCTGAATCTGGGTGTTGTTTGTGTCCGTTTTATGTATGTTTGTTAAAAAAGAAAAAGATATATTAAGCAGCTCATTGATGAGGCATACGTCGCCTGGATATGTACCATCCTCTATTCATATTTTTATAATCTCACGTGATAATCACGTTGACGACCGGATGGCGTAGTGGTTTCTGTAACGGACTGCTATTCCAAAGGTCGCGGGTTCGATTCCCGCTCAAGTCAAACATTTGTGTGCCTGAACATTTAATGTTTGATTTGGTCTGGGTGTTTCTATGTATAATATGTATGTATTTACAAAAAAAAAGTTATATACTTTTTTTTTTGTAATCTAAAATTTGTAATTTCTTTGTATTTATATCAGTTGTCTAGTAACCATAGTACAAGCTCTGCTTAGTTTGGGACTAGATGGCGTTGTGTGAATGTGGTACAATATTATTATTATTATTATTATTATAATCCTAGTACACCTCGAGAGTAGACTGTACTAAATTACAAAAGACATCATGTAGAGGCGATTTAAAATGCACTTTATTTCCATTGTTGACACAGTTGCTATTTGTGTGCATGAATGAACATTTAGTGCGTAAATCGGCTATTCTATTACATGCTCATTAAAGATTTTACTGGACAATATAGTTTAGCTTTTGTTACTATTCCTGTTTCACCTTGAACGCACATAATGACTGATTTCTACAGACAACATATATTTTATGACTTGTTTACAGTTTGGTACAAGAATAGAACAAGGTATGTCATGAGGATGACATCGTAAAATACAAGGCCAGGAGTTTGGCTATGGAAAGGTAATGGTATTAAAGGCGGTCGTAGCCGAGGTTTTGTTTTTTTTTGGTTTTTGATGGTATAGGGGTGCAAACAAGCAAGCGGGTCACGTGATGATAAGGCATAGACATCTGTAACGCAAGAGTCACAAGCCCCCCCCCCCCCTCATGAAATGAACAAAAAAAGCCATGTTAAGCCGTTGCTTACCATGGCTTTTTTCGTAATTTAAAAAGTTAGTATTTGACACATCTCACACAAGACCCTCTGATTTCAAACAAGGCAGAGCCTGTTTTAAGTTAACCAAACTACAGATAAACATAGTTTTATATGCATTTCTAAATACATACCGTATTAGTGATAAATTACACCCACAGTTTTTTTTTTTATCGTCACACGACTGTTGGTCCCGGGTGGTTATCGAACCCACGGCTTCTAGCCCAGCAGTCAGGATTACTAGCCACTGGACCACCATCATCATCATCATCATACATCAACAGCCGTCAATAGTCCACTGCTGGACATAGGCCTCTCCTTAGAAAGGAGGTTTTGTCCTACAAACGCTAGTTAGACGGTTTGGTACGACACCCACGGGGCGAATAGGGGTGGTAACACTCCGTATTCTTAATCCGACAATAATTGACCAACAGGGTAGTCCCATTAAAAAACGTAGCTCACAATTCGAACTATCAAATGCACGGATGGCGGTCACCTCGCCGCTTACCACTGCGCTGAGTGTTGTGGGTTTAGTCCCCACATGGGACAACACTTTGTGATCTACAAATTGTCTGGGTGTTCTTTGTGTCCGTTTCATGTATATTTATAAAGCGCGACACAGGAATTATTCATAGTGCGGGAGTTGTTAAAAAAAACATCCGTTATGTATAGAGATAGTTTCTTATTGAGCACCATTTATTACCTACTAACTTACAAGGATTACAATGTGTTTTACCATCGACACAGATTCACATATCGGAAGCCAATTTCATATGGAAAGTATCTCTATGAACCGAACAATTTCTCAGCGTCTGTTTATGTGTATGCGTGTGCTTTCTATGCAACACAGCTGTGTTCAAGTCTATCGGAATCTAGGTGATTGGTTATGTTAATTAAATAGATTTGCATGTTTAAAAATAGTATAGAAATGATTTTGCGTGCAAACGCACTGACACAGAATCTAAATTTAGTCTTGGAATAGTTAGTTTCTTGTGTTGTGTTCGTAGCTGATAAATTGCCGTTGTTCTCATGCATGTTTGGGAAATCTGAAGTAGTTTCGTCTAGCCCTTTTTTTTGATATGGTAACTTCCACGGGTTAACATCTCGGAAAAATGGTATGTGGGACTCTAACCGATCAAAGAACGACTACGACAATCTTTTTTCGTGGTAAAGGGGACCGAACGAGCAGACTAGTCACCTGATGGTAAGCGACTTCTGCTGCCCATGGACATCTGCTACTCAATAGTTGCCCTTTGAGCCTCTCTTTCTCTGATAATGGACTGTGACTGTGAATAGTGACTGCACGAATGGCATAGTTGTTAAAGCAGTCGTAAGGTGACCGCCTGACTCCTACTACGCTGAGTGTTGTGGGTTCGATCCCCACATGGGAAAACACTTTATGTGATCCAAAAATCGTTGTTCTGAGTCTGGATGTTCTTTGTACCCGTTTTATGTATTTTTGTGAAGTCCCTCGCGACACAGGATATATTCATAGTACGGGCGTTATCTTAAAAAAAAGGAGTGAAGGGGGGATTTCGGGCTCCAGTAACCACACTCACTCGGTGAAAAACAAGGGAAGAATTGTTTAACACCGGTTTTCTGTGAAGCCTTGGTATCACTCTGGTCGAGCCGGACTATTCATGCTCCCACGGCAGTTTATTGCAGGGCACGTGGAATACCTTAACAGGGCAGTCTTCATAACATTTGGATCTCACATTTACATATGAAGGGGTGGAGTGACCTGTCGCAACAGATTTATAATCTGCAGTCTTTTAATCTCGTTTCGAATTATTTTTAAGCAGCGATCTGACCGAGACAGTGAGCTCTTTATATATTCTTGTGAAGCATATCCATTAGCTTTCTGTTTATTTCTTGATTAGAGTCTTAATAAAATAGATAAAGAAATTAACTGACAAAGAAATTACTGACAATCCAAGGCAATTTTTTACAAAAATAACGGTACGGTACAAAAATAAATTTACTACTATAGTCCATCAACGTCGTGCGCGACCGTCCTGCGGTGTGACAGACGGTGGCGGGGACGAAGTACTCAAGATGTCAGCGGGTAGCGGGTGGTGTAGCGGGGAAGGGACACACTTCTCTTCGTGTGTAGCCGTGTGCTAGAATGACGCGCTACCTCGCCCCCGCCACTGTCTGTCACCCCGCGGGACGGTCGCGCACCTGATTGCCGGGTTAATAACTTTGATAAAAATAAACTACCTTACTTAATTTAAAATTGCAAAGTATCTACTATCGTATTCTATAATTTTTAAATTGAAAAGACGTGTAAAATTATATGTTTTTATTTATTGTTGGGATCAGATGCCTATCATCCTCCAAACCTTTTGGAAAACTAGGGTCGGATCGGTTTTCAGTCAACTATAGTTAAACCGCCGTAAGCTTGGCCCTCCTGATGGTTTGCGGGACGCGGGGCGGGTGATGCGCTCGGCTATACATGACACGATGTACTAACTCGATATCTTCAGATTTATTTGTTTGAGATTTAATTTACACACGATGTAATAAAAATCGATTTTATTTCCATGTATTAAAATGTCAGTGTATTGTAAGTTTTTATGATTAATTGTAAAATTTAATACTGTAAAATAATTTTAATAAAATCACCTTATCTTCATCATGTAAATTATATTCAGATACAATTTAAAAATTAAGTAAAATAATAAATATTCTTTATTAGAACTTTAACAGTAGAACCTCTGTAAGCCGAACTTCAAGTCTTTAAATCTTTTTGTGACGTAGAGTCGGCAGATTATCCATGTTGCAAAATAATCCCGTGTGTAGCAGTCTTAAGAAAAATAACACGTACAGCCATACTTTCACGTCAGTCACTGCCGGCGGACCAGGCGGTACAATCTTAGTCGACAATCCTTGGAATGTTACGAAAATAATGAAACCAAATACAATGGTTTTTTATTTGTTCTAAAATTTTAACAACATTACGTACACTTCATTTAGGCGTATAATACGTGTGTACTTCGCCAGTCGATACTTATAGATGTCGTTACTTTCGGTATAATCCGCATAAAACATAAAGTGAGTTGTTTTAGTTTTTAATATCCCGGAACGTATATCACTATTTTCTGGAATCATTATAAAATGACTTTTGTAAATAAAATGTTGCCATTATTTTTTTATACATTGAGTTGGTAGTTATTTTGTATGATAAAATTGATAAATGTAGACTTACATTAAAATTTTTGACAACTTTAAAATTTTTTTAGCACTTTAATACACACGATTCTAAGAAATACTAACTTAGAGCCTGTATCATTTCATTATTGCCATTGTTTTGGTACTTTTCATCAGCGTTAATGCCGCAACATTTGCAACAGCTGTCGTTATGAATGTTGTCCGTCAACATGACATTCATACCGGCATTTTTTTGGAACTAATAACAATTATTCTCTGATATCTTCATTAATGCGTGAGTTGAGCCTAGGTTCTTCTGATCTTTGTTATCCTTGTGTGTTGTTTTCGAGTAGTATTGAAGTAGAGACACTTATTTTTAACGCTTTATTTTTGTGTTGCAATGTCTGTTAAACGTTGTTGTCTTGAAAAGAAGAAAATAAACGTTTTTTTATACATTGTTTTATTTTACAAAGTTCTAATTGCATACGTATATTTGTACATAAAATAAACAATACTGTATACAATAAGTATTACCTATATTATAGACATGTAGGTATAAATATATCCTTTCAAATGTTGAGTAAGAGAAAAGTTGTTGCTCGCTCCTAACAGATGGCGTTGTTTTGTAATTTCCTCCAAAAGCGATTGAGATATACCTCTATTTCAGTATATTACAATGTACTCTGTGCGGCGGACAGCGACGCACTAGCTAATTGGTTGAATGCACCCCCGCCCAGCGTCCCCCAAACCATCAGGAGGGCCAAGCTTACGGCGGTTTAACTATACGACACGGCTGAACGTAGATTTTTTAAGTGGAACGACTAACATCCAACTTCAAGCAAGAACCCAAATACTGTAGTTCTGAAAGCTCCAACTACCCGTAACAATTGCCACAGGTGTTCGCATGGCAACCGGGAACGACCGCTTGACGTGCTCTCCGAGGCACGGGATCAGAGACCCATGTGTAAGATTATAAAGTTATTATTATTATACTAGACTTACCCTGTATAGCTCCAGCCCAGCACAGCCAGAAGAGTGCCCACTTCGCAGTTCTGAACCGTTGCAGCCAGCTCGGCCGGAACATTCCCCATCCACAGCGGAGAGCTCGATCTTCTTTGTGCTCCACGGGGTTTGATGGGGGAGGCTCCGTTTCTGGTTCGGCCTGGGAATTTATAAGATGAATGCTATACTAACTAATTTACTTAACTTAATGGTCGCTAGACCTCATATTAAACGGATATATATTTGATAATGTTTATAAGGTTTCGTGTGGCGTATTTGTTTAAAAAGGGGTACGAGGAATTTTGTTTTCACGTATTAAAATATAGATAGTAATAATAAATGGTTTGTTTGTTTGAACGTGCTAATAATGTAATATTTACCCATTATAGGGCCCCTCACCACTAGAATAATTTTTATTTATTTTTATGGTATAAAGGGGCAAACGAGCCAACGGGTCACCTGATGGTAAGCAACTACCGCGGCCCATGAACACCTGCAACTCAAAAGCCACAAGTGCTCGAGTCAGCAGGGGGATTTGGACTCCGGTAACCTCACTCACTTAGTGAAAGGCAACGAAAGAATTGCTTAACACTAGTTTTCTGTGAGGCCGTGTTATCACTCCGGTCGAGCCGGCCCATTCGTTCCGAAGCATAGCTCTCCCAAGGTAAAAATCATGTACCCTAGTTATAAAAATTAAAGAAATGATTTATTTAGGATGCTAACAATTGCTAGGTAACTGATTCTGTGTCTCACTACTGTACCAAATGGACGTTCAGTTTAGCAAAGGCCCGGCGCTGGTTTTTGACTTCACGCTACAAAGAACAGGAGCGGAACCCCAATCATGAAATGTTCTAAAAATGGAGAAAAATTATTCAAGCGAAGTTGTACGTCAATCGAAAGACGAAAGTTACAACAAGTTCAATGCGTAGAAATGACGCCTTAACGATGTGTTCAGGCGTTATCTGAACTTTTAATTTGTGCCAGACTGTTATAAGAAATATAAAATTACGTACAACGTAAGTTACTTATATACTCAATTCTTGATTGCATTTTACAATATATGGTACAGGTGTTTAACTTACATTATTGGTAACACTTGTGAACCCTGCCGGGACGCCTATCATACCAACAAAAACATGCATTAATACCACGAAGACACTCCGAACTATGAAGTGACTACTAATACTGCATCGTACAATGAAAATTGATTCCCCAGGTCTGAAGACCCTTTTGGATTAGAGTCTGTCTCTTGATTTTAACAAAATTAATGTTACTTTTGAGGAGCAGGAGGGGAGGGCAGTTTTTCTCTAGACCGAGCCGAGCGTAGAGGTTCCATAACCATAAAAGATAAAAAAAATGATATCTATGATTATTTTTTTTAATGCTATAAGAGGCAAATGAGCAAACGGGCCACTCGACCTTAATCCTGATACCTGCAATCCAAGAGTTACAACTGCAATAAAACACTTGCTTAAAACCGATGAGGGTGTAGCATCTGCGAGCTGACCCATACGTGCCCTCTCACAGATAATTCCAAAGAAAACTATTATCTCTACAACTCATTCATTTGTCCAGACGGGCCTGTTGGCCTAGTAGCCAGTGGCCCTGACTGCTAAGCCGGAGGTTGTGGGTTCCATTCCCACCCAGGACAAATATTATGTGATGGGCACAGTCATTTGTTTTGTAATTTATCTATAATATGTGTATATTTAAATATATTTAAGTATGTTTATCAGCAGTCTGGTTACCATAACACAGGCTCTGCCTTGTTTGGGATCAGACGGCCGTGTATGAGATGTGTGAGATATTACAATGACTGCACGGATGGCCTAGTGGTTTAAGCGGTCGCCACGCCGCTTCCTACTGCGCCGAGTGTTGTGGGTTCAAACCCCACATGGAACGACACTTTGTGTGATCCACAAATTGTTGTTCTGAGTCTGGGTGTTCTTTGTGTCCGTTTCATATATGTTTGTAAAGTCCCCCGTGACACAGGAATGTATTCCTACTGCGGGAGTTGTCTTTTAAAAAAAATAATAATAATAATAATAAGGAATCGTAAAAATAAGAAATGGAACAAGAGCCCAATATAATGGTTGACCAGAGGAAAGACAATAATAATATCTATTATATAGGTACTTTAATCATTTGTTAAATTTGCATACTATTTTCATGGCTAAATGGGCCTGTTCAATTTATATCAAACTTGTTTTACAATACCACATTATGTTCTACCCCATTTAAAGCAAATAAATAATTTAAATTTGAAAGCTACATAACACAAAATGACATTATAAATATTTATCATGAATGTAGATCATACAATTTGTGACATAATCATTTAAAACGATATCATTGCAGCGGCACTTCCTCTCATCCGACCCATCCGAATGGAGATTTAATACACGGTATTAAACCATTCAATTTTATTCTTTTGAGTTGTTTGCTCATTCAAAGGCATCTTAATAACACGGAGTGGGCGTTTCCTGCTAAACGATCTAGCTACATTCAAATAAACATGAGTAAAAGTGACATATAGTTTTGATATATATGATTTGATTGAGAGGCCTGCTTGGTTACATGCAAAACATGGTAACCTAAAATAATAGTGATCACCACGTCAGCGCCACGTCAAATATGATCACAGTCTCACAGACAACTCATGACCACAGATAGCGTAGTATAGTGTTGCACGTAAAAAAACTGTTAAAAATGTAATATTATTGTAAGTTGCATTAAGTTACTAATTTATATTCAGTTGTATGCTGTGTTTTCTTACAGAATAAAGTTTATTTTATTTTATTTTATTTTATTTATTTATTTATTTGATTTTTAAACTTTTACGCTTTAAGCACAGGACAATATTACCTTCCCTTCTTATCTACCTTTCCTTTCAAATTACACCTAATTTTCTTATGTAATCCCTAAAGTAACCGAGGTACGGCAATAGGATTGCCCCATGTTATTTAAGTGGAACTAAAATTGTAGTTGGCAAAATTCGGGCGTTTAATACGCATTCATCGCGTGTCTCAAAAAAGTCGTTTGAGTATATTTATCGGATGCGTCGTTTCTAGGATGTTCAATAAATAAGAGTTAATAAAAATATAAAGATACAATGCGAAGATAATGCGGGATGTGGTGGGCGTTTGTGATTACTCCTCGCTTTATGAGCAGTAGTTTGAATTTGAATCATACCTTCAGAATTGAAATGAATGTAGTCGCACAAAACAAAAGGCATTGTGACAATTTAGGACGTACAATTGTTAAACGGTTATCAGTATTTTCGTTACTGGAATTCGTGGTTTTACTTACAGAATAGATACACTGAATATGACGGTTCGTAAAAAAATAATCATCAAAGTTCGAGTGGACGAAGAATCTTTTCCCTCACGAGTTCGACTACCACCACCCGATGACACCTACAAGTCATGAGTCACAAAGGTTTTGCCGGCATTTTAGCGACCTCTCCTACCACATTAAGGAGTAGGGGTTAAAGAAAAAGAGATTGGTGTTCCGGTAACTTCACTCATTCGGTGAAATGTAATACATATTCTGTGAAACTGTGGTATTAGTCTGGTCGAACCAGCCCATTTATGCCGAAACAAGGATCATCCATGGATAAAGTTAATAGTTATTTATTGGATCAATTGGATTACGCAAAATTCCAAATTTTTCATCCCCATCACTTGGATAATTGACACTCCGCCACTGTGAGCTTTTCAAGACACTTTTTGCCTCGCACAACATATCTATGGAACAAGTAAACATCCGCGGTATCGGAAAAACCGATACGACCTTCAAACCTTCAAGAAAAGAGCGTACTCCTTCCTAAAAGACCGGTAACGCGTTTGTGACTACTGCGTTGCAGGCGTTCATGTGCGATAGTCACCTTCTCGTCGTTTCACGTATGCTCTATGCCCCTCTTCCATAAAAAAACCTTTTCTATACCCCTCAATATAGCTAGACACCCACGTTCATTGATGATTAGATAAAATCACTTCAGCTATTAGCGTGGTCACGTGCACCCTCAATGACAACCGGCCTATAGAATGTAATAATGGACTCGGAGACCAACATTGTGTTACAACAGCTTATATCCTGCACTTTGTGTACCAATGTGTACAAATAAGGGTCTATTCTCGTCAAGAATCGTTGTAATAAATTGGTATAACGTCTACTCAATGTAGCAAAGAAAGAATATTATTTATTCCATAAAACAGCATACAAAAATAAAAGTTAAGGAACAACATATACAAAGAAAATAAAAACCAAGTAAGGTTTGTTTAAAACATTAACAAGGCAACATTTCAATGTGTCATTCTTTCATACCACTGACAGAATTGACATAACACGTCAATGTGCCACGTATCGAACCACGCGTCTGTAAAATTTTGCAACTATTTTTTTCTATTGCGAAGCTACGAAATGTTGTCTAATTATGTATATATGTATGCAGCTGTTTGAGACAGCCAATACAACCTGAACGAAACGACAGGCAATTTAAAGATACGTAATACTTGATACGTGACCGTGTAAATTCCCGAATTGTTAATGTTTAAGCAGTTTAAGTCCACCTCATACTAGAGCGCGAATAAGTATAGAATAAGTTTCATACCGTATCACGATGGATCATAGAATTAACTTAATTATTTGTTTAAGAATTGTAACGAAATACCATACTTTTTGTCACCTAATGGAAAGTCACGACCACCGTCCATGGACTCCTGCAATTCAAAAGTTCACTCGGTGAGATACAACGAAAGAACAGCTTAATACGGATTTTCTCTGCAGCCTTGGTATCACTCCGGTAGAGTCGGGCCATATGTATCAAATCCAGGCTCTACCACGATTAATTATGTACCATACAATTCTCAAATTCACTACGTGTGTAGGTCACATCAACAGTCTTTAATTGTCCACTGCTGGACATAGGCCTCTTCTTAGAAAGGCAGTTTTGGCGTACTATACCACGCCGACCAGACCGGTTGATATAGGATCTGTGTCAAGTCTATTTGCAGTGCTGTTGTCCTGCGTAGTTTGGGCTCTTACTCGACTCTTACGACACCCACAGTATGAATAGTTGTAGTGACACTCCGTATTCTTAATCCGTCCCAATACTACAGACGTGTATGGAACAAAATAAAAGCTATTATAACTACTTGA